GATTGTTCTACTTTTTCCCTCTCGTGCTTTTATTTGGACTGGTTTAGCTTTACTAGCTTTATGTTGCTGTTATTTTAGCTCTTCAGGTTTTATCGTTCGAAATATTCAGGTCGTTCATCTGATGATCAAGCTGTTCCATGTGACATGATCCTATTACGGGGACCATGTATTGTTGATGAATCCATGCTCACTGGAGAGTCCGTACCACAAATGAAGGTTAGTTTCCGTTGTCTGGAGGTCCAAATACGGCCCCGTTGCTTCCTATGCAACGACGAGATGCCCTGTTTAGGTGACATATACGTATCTTTGCATTTTTCCTTGTAGTGGCATCATTTTAGGAGCCTATAGAAGATCTGGAAAAGGATAGATATTTTGATATTGATGCGGATAGCCGTCTTCACGTAATTTTCGGTGGCACAAAAATCGTTCAACATACTCCTCCTGGTGAGGCTTTTTACTTTTTGTCAGGCGATCGAGTTCCGCATGAATTTCTTTTTAGGAAAGGGAGTTGATGGATTGAAAGGCCCAGACAATGGTTGTATTTGCTATGTGTTGAGGACAGGGTTCAACACAAGTCAAGGGAAGCTATTGAGGTTTGTTCACAAATATCTTTAGCTAGAAGTGCTCACAGATTTACCGGCAAACTCTGACACTAATTTCAGGACAATAATGTTTGGCGTCAAACGAGTAACAGCAAATAATCTCGAAACGTTTTGTTTCATTCTATTTTTGCTTATTTTTGCAATCGCTGCAGCTGCATACCTGTGGGTTGTGGGTGAGTGGACAAGAAGACTTGTTTCCGACGCTAAATGCCTCGGGAGGGCCAGGCTGCAATTTTACTCTAGCGCTACATTGGCTTCCAACTTGTAAGGGAGGGGACCAGGGGTGGGCGAACCGTTTATCATTCAGGAATTAGGATGTCTGAAGTGGCTCACCCACCATGAAGCTTCCTGCTCCCGAAGATCGCAAATAGGCTACAGGCCACTAGGCGCTGACACCCCGTTGAACGGAAGACTGGTCCTTCCCGAGCAGGGCACGTCGGGAGCCCAGCAAGGGAGATCATATTTGCCCTTGAGGAAAAATGTTTTCAGTTATTAATTTCTCGGTTTTTCCTGTTTCTCATATGCTCTATCCCCTCCTGCCCCTCCCTCGCTTGGCAG